AAGAACATGCTAGATGCCAGATTACTTTCAACATGGCTAAAACTGCTGTCAAGCAAAACTTTTTGGGCCATTGTAGAAAGAGATACTATCGAATCTGAACTCTATAGTAAAAGAAACATTTCAGTTACAGATGCATTATCACAAACCCCACTTAAGACTAAAGGCTGAATAGATCGATGGAAGCCTTACCTTAATGCATGGAAAAGATTTATGAGTAAAATTGAAACAAGCAGTTCCTGGTCATGGTCACCAACGGACATCAAGATAGGAGAAACACCAGGCAACCAATACAAGGTTGGAAAAGCCTTAAAGAGCTTAAACGCTCACCAGACCTCTATACAAATTATGAATGACTACATACTAAAGGAATCCTCAATAAGAAAAAGGACATAATGTGGCGGCTGGCCCATCGAGCCTTGCCTCTTGGCTATCGACTTCTACATATCAGCCAAAATAATCTCAGAAACTGCCCCAACTGTATACATACTATCCAAATGCTTGAACACTTTGCCTTAAAATGCCCTCTAAGCAAGATAATTTGGGAAACAGCTTACAAATTCCTCAAGTATGCAGCTGAGCCAATCCTATCTACAATAGAAAACATCTTTCAAGCCACCAACATAACATCAACCCATAAAAGAAAAACAGCTATATGGATACATATAACCACCATCTACAAAATTTGGTGCTGGTATACTCAGGCCAGATGGGGGGATAAAACTATACCTATAGAGACAATCACAAACATAATAAACCTTAAAATAAAACATGAAATTAACTTACTACAAGCTTTGGTAATAAGAAAATCACCTACCAGAGACAAAAAATAGATACTATTCTAAAATTCATCAAATTATCTTCATAAAATCTGTAATTAATTAAAATCAAAATCAAAAACATTATAAATAAAAAGCATGCTTAGATGCGTTTTTTTTAAAAAAAAAACCATCTCTCCAATTCACAACATTCCATATGCTATTAATCAAAATTTTAATTACCTAGATACAGCATTCTTCTGCTCCTTTATAAGAACAAAAGCTACAGCCCCCCAACATCAAAAAGAATTCAATTCACTATACCAAATTGCTCTTGAAAAATATAAAAAACTACACAATGCTATTTTGATCAACAAAGTTAACAGAGACCAAATCCACAAAAAACTCAAAATCAAAATTGCCTTGGATTATATTAGAAACTTAGATTTTCTTACAACAAGTCTCATGAATGTACAAGACATATATTTTACTGTCTTAACCTTGCACAAATTCCTTGTGCACTTACTTTTGAAGAAACACATAAACTTCTTAATGAAGCACACTCCCAACTTCTTATTTCTCTACCAACTTCTTCAGACCTAATTGACCAAAGCATAAAAGAAATATTTCCTTTCCCACTTCCAATTGAAGATCGAAAATTTACTTGAGCAACAGTGCTAGCACTTTATAAAATCTACACTTTCGATCAACTCAACAATAGCTACTTTGCTAATCCTATTATTCCCATTCCTGAAAATCTAACTGATCTAAATGCAGATACATGTGAAATGTTTTCAATAACAAGCTGATCTGAATTACCTTATTTAGCAGAATACAGACAAAACTACACAAATATTATGACTTTGATCATATATCATCTAATTACTTTGACCTACCACCCACTCGAGAACCCTTACCATCAACACCTCAAAATCTTAATTCAGTCATAAGATACCTCTTCCCTTGCAATCCTAAAGATTCAACTGATTTCAAATGTTATGTAAACATCCTATGAGAGCATTATAGCTTTCACAAAATTCCAAACAACTACTTCATCCAAAAAAACTACTTCCAAAGGAACCAAAGCAAATCAAGACCTCTATTACTTATAATATTTCTATAACTGATTATCACCTAGCAAAAGAATTCCTAGCAGAAATACAAGATACATACAAATTCAACATCCCACTACCACTAGAGTATATGACAGTTAACCCTACAAACAAACCTTAACTACCTACAGATCCTATTTTGATTACTGAGCTTAACCTAACACTTCCTATTACAAGCCCTAAAATCCTAGTAGAAACTGCTAGAAAACTCTGCACATACTACTTCTTCTACCAACTATCCACAGAATGAATCTCAATTAATAACATTACAAGAAAAAAAAATACTAAACCAAACCTTCCTTCAAGTCTCAATGAAATCCAAACAGCCTTGAGAGAATTATACCAATCTCAAACTATTCAACTACCAATAACAATACACAAACAGATAGCTAACATTATCTCACAACTTCATAATCACTTCTTTTTTCAAGGCTTACCTTTACAACTCTTTGAACTTCCCAACCTACCTGATCCTCACTGGGATATTTTTGTTAACTACTCCCCTAACCATGAACATTACACAAATAAAACCAGATTTACTATCCTTCCAATAGACAACAACAACTTAACTAAAATACCAGATATTTCTACAAACAATTTCCCTATAAACATTTAGGATCATCTTAACTTTGCTACTCATAATACTCAAGGACTCAACGATCCACTAAAGCTACAAATATGGCTTGAATTCTGTGCTAAAAATAACAAACAAAACTAAAAAATTTTTCTTTTGCAAAACTCTCTAATCCACTTTACAAAATTTATACATCAAACTTCATACCTAAGGACAGCTCTCAACATGAAGCCAGTATAGGCACTGTGATCATGCTTCATAACTCACTTCAACCCTTTATATTCAACATACAAACTGTCCCAGGCACTGCAATATGCATTGATTTCCACCTCCCTGCCAACAATAACTTTGTATAATTTCATTATACCTACCTTCAAACCATCCAGAACAACTCAAATCTACTCAAAACACAATTATAAAT